TATTGAAAAATGTATGTAGCTTCCGTAAGATCATTTAATTTGTCTGTCATAACTCTTAACATTATTAACTATTTTAGAACAATATTTTTAAAGACGAATTTCTTAGAGTAAAGAAGACATATCACATGGATGATTTGATATGCTAAGATATATAGTGTCTTAAGAAAAAAAGCATGTTTGTTTCTAATTTTGGCAAAATATTTGATATAATTCTAGCGTAGCATTTAATCTTCCTTCTAATTTTTTAGGCCTCTATCCATCAGAACCAAAGCTGCCACCGAATGTAGTGAATGCTATTGAGGGTATTCCTCCGAATCATGTGATCACCACAATGGATCCTAAGCTGGAAGCAAACGGTTTACCATCTTATCCACATCTACCGGGCCATCTAGATAGCAGGCGTATCGAGGAGATTCGCCGAACGCTTGTAGCGAATTTGGATCCATCGGTGAGCCCTGAGCAGTTGCTGGACTTCTTCAGCAACAACAATGTGGAGATCAAGTATCTACGTATGTGCAGTAGGGATTCGGATGCTGAGCACTATGCGTTAGTGGAGCTGTCAGAACAGGCTGCCGTGGTCTCAGCATTACTGCTAAATGGGAAACAACTTGCAGAACGACCAATCAAGCTCTATCACTCGATGCAGGCAATTGCTAAACCGGAAGCAAAAAGCAATGAGGCTGCGCAGAAGGAGATCGAGGAAGCGATGTCGCGGGTAAAAGAGGCGCACAATCTTATCTCCGCAGCAATTGACCCCATGATTGGCATGCTATCCAAGGATAAACGAAGCAGAAGCGGCTCTCGCAGCCGCAAGTCTCGATCGCGTTCTCGCGGTCGTAGCCGGCGTTCGAGATCTCGTAAGCGCTCGCGATCACGTCATCGACGTTCGCGCTCCCGTCATCGCCGTCGATCGCGATCGCGATCCAAACGGTCTCGATCAAAGGATCGTAGACGTGGTTCACCATCAAGACGGCGTAGCAGTTCGCGCAGTCGCCATCGTTCGCGTAGCAGATCGAGACGGTCGAGGTATGACCAAATGTTTTTCTTTGTTTAGAGTCATTTACTATATATAATAATGCAAGCAGGTTTGTTAATGTATAAGTTAATATTATTTTTTAACTAAGTTAAGTTAAAATTAATGACAAAATTAATTTAGTTACATTAAAAGTTACATGAACAAAAAACTAACTTACAAATTGCGTTAAAATTAAATTAAATTAAAAATTAAATTAAATTAAAAAGTATTAATTATATTAAATTAGAATGTAATTTTTTAAAATTAAAACATTCTAAATAACAAAACAATTATAATATGGATTATCAGATTAATTTATTTTATTTGAAAATTAAATTTATATGAAATAACGAAAAATATTTTAAATAGATTTTATATAAATTTTTAAGTTAGGAAAAAAGTAAATAGATTAACATTTATGATGTTTTAAAAATAACTAATTAAAGTTATAAATTATTTCATTTAAAAAATTTAATTAAGTTAAAAGTTATTGATTTTTTTAACTTTATTAATTAATTTTTAACTTTTTAACTAGTTATTGTCTAAACCTGATTGCAAGTTTATATTCATCTCATATTTTCAAGATCATACATTTAAAATTCTGAATATATTTTAGAAAAATGTTTTAATAAGTTGAAAAACATTTAAGATGCCGGTAAAAATTCTATATGAGAAGAAATTACAATTTATTAATATAATTATGTATTGGATTGATTTTTTACTTCAAAGGTCACGTCGATCACCATCCAGATCAAAAGAACGGAAGAAGAGATCACCGCGTCGACGCAGTCGTTCACGCTCACGCAGCAAAGGTTCTACATCTAGATCTAGACGTTCGCGTTCCAAATCTAAATCCAGATCATCCAAATCCAAATATGCCTTGGATAAATCTAAAGACAAAGATCGGGAAAGGCATAGCAAAGATAAGTCGGATAATGGTAAAAGGAGTGACAGCGATCGGGAGAGACCCGAGAAAGAAAGCAGTAGAGGTGAAAAGAAATCCAGCAAGGAAAAGCGATCTGGTGATAAGTCTGAATCCAAACACTCAGATGATAAAGGTAGATCCGCATTGGAGAGCAATGATAATAAGGAGAAAACAATGGAATCGGAAAGCTAGACAAAAGTCCATAATCAATTCAATTATTCAAACGTTTCATTAAATTCAATAAGCTCTACATGTTTTTATTGTTATATATTGGTACAGTAACAAATACACGATATTTACATCGAATACTTTATTCGGAATGGCAATTCGTTTATATTAATCATACAAATATATCATAGGCTCTCAAGATTCATTAACATTTAGACACGAATCTTCATTTTCTTTTTTCTCGGAATCGGCGGTTTGACTTTTTCCTCTTCTTCCTCTTCGTAATACACTTCTTTTTTAGATTCGTCTTTAGATGATCTAAGAAAATGAGAAAAGTGTGTCATGATTTTCATTCAATTGACTAACCATGATCATAAATGTGAACGCTCTTAGTTGCTATAGTTATATTAAATGAAATAGTTTATGAAGTTCACAAAACAATTTATAAAAGTAGTATTGAATACTTTACAAAAAATTATAACTATTGTAATCGAATATGGAAGTTCAATGCGCCTATTAATTTCAATATTAATTGGTTTGATTTATCATAATATATTAAAAGTACTTTATACCTTCATCTAAGATTGTATAAAAAAAAATCAATAAGCAATAAAAATAGAAATAATCCATTGTACATGATCTATGAATTATACGAGAAAGATATATTGAATAATCTGTAATGACGTAATTATTATTTATAGATCTTTTATAAAACTAGGCGAGCATACTTTGCAATATCTTGATTTTCATAAACAGTCACGTCATCGTAGATTTCCATCTTCATAGGGACTGGTGCACGGAAGAGCGATTTTTGCGCATTTTTTATGGTTGATCGCCTCTTTAATACTATCTGTAATATTCATTGCATATTTTTTAAATTGCCTAATACTTTTACATGAAATTATTTAAGACATTATTTCTTTTTAATTACATCTATTTCTTTTATTGACATTTCTTATTTTTTTCAATGACATCTCTCACCATTCCCGTGTTTTTATCTTGTGAAAAGCTAGAAGTTGGTGTCATCTCCATTGAGCCATCTATGTTTATCTTTCTACGCAGCACATCATCTACCTGACAGCTTCCTATTGAGATAATAAAACGAATACTTTTTTCGTTTTTCGAGAAGTTTAAAGTGTTTCTGGAATATCTGTAGAAATTAAGTCACAATTACTTACGCATTACGCATTCGTCATACTGGCCAAGAGGATCTATTCCTAGAAACGTAGATAATGCATTGGGATAACGCAAATCCATAAATATCATTATAATTGCCAAAAGGACACAAAACAGACCTGAAGAGGAATATATCGAACATAACAATATAACGTAGACCAAACGTATAATGTTAAATCTATGATGGAAATAACATAAAAAATATATTAAATTGGTAAGTTTCTAGAAAATAATAAAATTAATAAATTTGTACGCGGTCTTTTTTTATTAATTAAATAAGCTAAGATCATCTTCATAAAAGAACACGATAATTTAAAATATTAATTTTAAATATTAATTAAAAAATTAAAATTTAAGAATTTGAAATTATTGTGAAAATTCAAGAATCAGTGCTGGAAAACTAGTGCTAGCTAATTTAAGAAAGAACTCAATTTTTGCTAAATTAAAGATACCAAATAAAAATTCAACCTAAAGCAATTAATCAATTATATAATAATAAATATCATAATAAAACAATTAATTACCGCATCCAAAAGTCATCCAGAAATGTTGGCCCAATGTCATCTCAATGATACTATCCTCGAAAGGGATCACAAGTGGAATTGGATTATGTACACAGATCCATACTAAACAAGTTAACAATTGTAAGCCGCCGATCAAACCAATTAAGTAGGCAGTATGTCTGCTCACAGATTGTAGGAATATATTAGCCAGTATCCAGCAAGCAAAAGCAGTCCTACAAATTCAACAAGTTTAGGCTTTTATATCTTTGCTATAAAAAATTTATTAGAATAAACATTGAACGAACAAGGGCATTTGAAGTCAAGCGCAGTGGAAGAGCGCAAATGAAAAGTCCATTGATATGACTTCTATATATTAGGTTCTATTAAATCCAAAAATTGGATTTTCATTTGCGCTCTTCCACTGCGCTTGACTCCAAATGCCCTTGTTCGTTCAATGTTTATTCTCATATTAGAGGAGTCCTCACACTTTAATTTTTAAGTTAATTTTTAAGTTAAAAAAAAAATTTATTTTTATTTGCAGATTCGAAATTAGTATAGCAATTTTGAGACCCGATTATAAAAAAATATGCATTAATATATATATTTATGTACATAATTATATATTGATTATATAAAAAATTATAATTATAAGGATTTCATTAACATACATCTATTTACATCAGTCAATACTTAAGAATTTTCTAATGGATTATCAGAAAATTTTATTTTTAATTGATTAATCAGCAGTGTATGCTATCAAATTTTGCTTATTATATATTGTGTGTGTGTGTGTGTGTGTGCGCGCGCGCGTGTGTGTGTACATATATATATATATATATGTACACATATAATTAATATACAATATATAATATACAAATATTATAACATGTAATTATATATATAATTTCGAAACATTCTGTATACAAAGTGGTCATTTAATATGTCTCCATCTAAATATCTTTCTTGTTTTTACATCTTTTACAAGAAAATGTAAGTGCCTCACATAAACACTCGCGTGTAACGGTGAGTTGTGCTGCCCCTATTTACCTTCTGTAATATCCAACCTATAATATGCTATTTCTCTTTATAACTTAAAAACTAAGCTTCGGACAAACTTTTGCCAAAGGAAAAGTCGTCTCAGAATACGATTAAGAATATGTCCTTTGAAGGACATATGAATTATTTTGAATCGTATAAGAATGATTTATATATATATAGAGTTTTTTGCCTTATATTTTTTACTGACCATAACAAAATGTGACAATACCATCCGGCAGTTCGATAAAATCTCCCAAATCGAATACCTTCTCCATCGATAACGAAATACTCAGCGATCCATAAAATAGGAATAGGCAAACCTTTTCGTTGACCTTCACGGAAAGTCCTTTGCAGCAATCCAGCTAAGATTTTATTGATATATTATTTAAATTAACGAAGCTTTAACGAAGCGAGCTAATTTTCAAGAACATACCATAGGGTCCAAAACCTATTCTGCCTTGATCCCATGTCCAAGGAAATCTCTCATTGTAATCAATCGTTTCTTTTGCAAGCGGAGTGCCTTCTTCCGGTTTGGCTAAAAATTGTTTATAAAAATAATTTTATAATTTTAAACCTGAGTATTCTATCAAATTTAATCTTGAAAAGAAAGTCTAGTATCTTGAAAAAAACCTGTTCTTTATATGTGTTTTGAGCATTAAAATTAATTGAATGTAAAATCGGTTTTTAAAATCGGTTTCTTTAATTCACTCTTTTTATCCATTCTTCATTCTTTTTATTTTTTGCAAATAAATATAATACTTTCTAATGTTATCTTTAATGAGTTCTTCAAGGTATATGTGTAAGTATTATCTTTATTTTCAATTTATTTCTTTTTTCACCTTTCAATGTGATATTCACTGATCTCAGTCCTATCTTGACTGCCATTTGAGCCTCAATCTCTTGGCCCACACCGGCTCGATAAGGTGTTTTACTCTTCGCATTGCCATGTTCCCATTCCTGGCCAAAATTTTCTACTACAAATTAACATTCAACATATTGATAACTCCAATGTACCTAATATGTTGAAAAAATTTAGAAAACAATTCTATTTTCAGATATCTACCTATTAACAAGCACCCAATGATAATGCTGGAACTAACTTTTATAGCTACGTTGATGCTCTGTGTGAGAGAAGAATTTTTTAAATATAAGAAGTTTATGCAAAAATGTATAGTTTCAAAATACTAATAAGTTTATAGAATTATGATTTCAGATTTAATCGATACAAATATATTGTAAAAGTTAAAGCTCAAGTTATAACTATTATGTACATGTACATATTAATTCAAATTATACACCATTCAAATCATATTAAAGTAAATTAATTAATTTGTTTTTGCTTTAAAATGATAGTACAAAATAAAATCTTAGAATACGAAAAATTTTACGTGCACACATACACAAACTATGCGTACACACGCGCGCGCGCGCGCGCGCACACACACACACATATCACATAAAATTTTTTCTAAAACTTTATTTTATGAGCTTATTCTAAAGCAAAAATAAATAAATTAGATTTTAATATATGTAAATCGAATTAAAATTACAATATACATGTATATTGTAATTTGTGAATTTATTTAAAATAAGTTTACTAAGGATTTTTTAAAGAAATCATTTTTATCTACTAAACAACAGTACCGTGATAAAGACAAATTATGGGAATATATATGAAATATTTTAGATTCATATTCATAACACATTTCTTTAAAATATGATATTAATTTAAAAGCAAAGAATATAGTATTGAAATTGAAGTTGTGTTGTGTAAGCTTACTTGTTTCTTGCGATAGCCTAGTATGATGCTGAGATAGGCGATTGAGATGACCACAAAAATAGCAATTAGTATAGTCTCAGTCACATCTATTGTTACCGGGGTATGATGCGCAGAATATTGCGAGGGAAAACCTTCTGATCGTCCGAACAGAAACGTATTCATTTTTTTCCAGTGTTAAATAATTACTATATTATTTTAGGTCCAAAGGAAACCGCGATGAAGAGAAATTATTAGGAGAATTATTTAACAGTATTTCTGATCGATCTACAGATTAGTTACTTGTATGAAAAATCCGTTGACGTTGTGGTTTTATCTGAATTCCTTTTCCGGCTATCCTCCTTTCAGATTGGATGACTATATATAAGCCTTGATTTCTCTTATCATCGAACTTCCGTAAAACCATGTAAATCAGTATCGCATAATTACATCAACGTCAAATGGTTATGTTTTCCTCACTCTCTTGGAATCTCTTTGGAATCTCCTAAAGGTTTATTTTTTACTACTTTTATGTTCATCATTAACTATTTTCGACAAGTACATTAATTATCATAAAAAATGAAACATTTTGTAATATCAACAATGTTAAAATTTAAAACTAAAGAAATGTGTATTTCACAATTAAATTTGATGTATTGAGATACATATGAATCTTTTAGATAATTTATTATAATTTATTAAAATTATGCAATATATAACACTACGTACACTATTCAGAATTATTATTCGTGTATTTTATTCTTGAATATTCTAAAATGGATACTCTTAATAGGGGATTCAATCCCAGTGCGTAATAAATTTTTCATTCCTTCATTCATTCATATTTAATAGTATTAAATTTAAAAATGTCAGGAGGATCGAAGAATAAACTGTTCATTTACTTCATATTTCAAATTTACGCGCCTCAGTACGTTGTCAATCATAAAATGACGACTTCCGGCTTCACTTTACTCACTCACTTTTATGCCTTGTGTCCACGATGCTAGAAATCAGTCCGAGATCTCGGATGGAAAGAGAATTGACCAATCGCATTGGTTAATTGGCCGAATTATTCAAACGCAATTCTCTTTTCATCCGAGATCTTGGACCGATTTCTAGTATTGTGGACACAAGGCATTACTTACTCTAAAGGCTTTGCCACATTGAATGCGACGAGCGACGAGCGATATCCAATGAGAGCTTTGCTTTTTCAAACGTCTATCGAGCGATTATTTTATGAAAAATACAAGTCGATGATCAAGCTAGTATACCGAAAGTATGGGGATTACTCACGTGTACGTGATGTGAGGTTAGCCGCTTGTCATTAGCCATTTGTCATTATCGTTATTGGTTCTAATGCACTTTATATTGAGGTAAAATAATTTTTTCGACAAAATCGCGATCGAGATGACGGTGAGTGTCGTATCATCTTATATTTTACGTTTTCTTCATAATTAATTTTTACTCTTACGTGAAACAAAATTTTTATAAAAAAACGCTCCAATTTGTTCAGGCTATTCATTAATTCATTTAAAGTTAATAAATTGCTTCTCCCGCGTATGTATTATCTTTATCGGTGATGACCGATGAATTGGCGAAACATGTTCGCATTTGATTATTGGATTTGGTATTTTTTTTATAGACGAAGAAAGGTAAAATATTAACTAAAGGAGCAAAACAGATAAAAGAGGAAAATGTTTCTACATTGAGTTTCTATGCTTACATGGCTCTAGGCGCAATGGGAATTTACTTCGCTATAACAATGGTGTTGTTTGAATTCACCTTGCTGAGAATAGTAATTTCCATTACTTCAATTCATTTTGATAAAGTGCTGTAACTATGCAGAAAATTCCTTAACGATATGTATTGATTATCGTTACAGAGTTTAACAGCATTTTCTGCAATTGTATATGTAGGAAGCTATCAATTTATGTCATATATGGCTTCTACCACATATTCAGAATCTGGCCAGCTCTTGGATCCTGGTGTGGACCTCAACATGGAAGGTGGTATAGCAGAGTAAGTGTTTCCTGTAGAGAGAAAATTTTTATTTTTTACATTTTATGTCTTTTTATTCTATTCAAATTATTATGATCTTATCTTTATACTTTCTTCTGTTGTTTGTTGATCAAAGTATTCTGTTCATTCTGTTTTAGACATGTTAAGGATTTAATCATACTAACGTCAGGAATACAGGTCCTATCCCTCATTTCAAATTACTTTTGGCTATTGTGGCTTCTGGTAGGCACTTTGATGAATCTTTTTACTTAGTATCTACTATAGAATTTTTGTCGTATGAAAATCTTATAGGTACCATTGAGAGGAAGTTGGATGCTATGGAAACAGATTTTGGCTCCATGGTTCTTTGCCCAGCCACAAGAACAGCCTGAGATGAGTGAAAAAAAAATGCGCAAATTAGAGAGAAAAATGGCAAAACGACACTGAAAATTCTTGTGCGATAAGGAAATTTTGTTGAATGACAATTAATTTAGTTTGAAGCAAGTTTGAAACATTAGGAAAGAAGAGATATTAAGATTTTTTATCTAGAGGATTAAGATTGCGCGAGTGGGTTCTGTATTTACAATAGAATAAATAAGATGGATTGAAGCTTTGAAAATTTTATGAAGAAAAATGGGAAAAAAAAGGCTAGGGATTAGAAGGATAAATTTCATCTCTGCTGAAATGTTTCAATTGATTCTTGGTAAGACTGCAGAGCTTTTTATACATCTAAAAAAACTAGACGCTTTTTTTATTTAGTAATAGATTTATAGATTTATTCCTATATAAGTCGAAAGTTAAATTATCATTAGATAGATAAATGTAATAAGTGAATTAAATATATTTGTTTAATAAAGAATATTACATTGTATAGTATATTAATAATTATAAACATTGTTAGCTTATATAGGAATAAAACTGATAATGTCTCAGTGGATAAAAAGTATCATGATGTTTATTTTTGCATTTATTTATTAGTTATATTTATGTAAATGGTCTTTGTAATTATAGCGATATGATATACTCAAGTTTTTCTTTTTTTTTTTCCATTGATACGAAAATGTAATACAGTGGTGCCTTTTCGAAAATGAACGAGATAACAAACGACGTTAAAAAATGTGTCCAAAATGGGCGAATACAAAAGATTTAAAATATTTATGTTTATATATTGTTCCAAAGTTCTTAATATTCTTCTTCCAGACAGAAACAGATTTAATTCAGACCAGATTGTGGTTAATCGCGGTATTACATATTATTATATAATTATTCATAATATATATAAATAAATCATTTGCTTTTTATTAAATTGTGAAAGTTAATGATTTAATGCATCACAATTACATTTAAATGCAATGTATACTACATCATATAATCATATTTATATTGAAAATGTAAACTTATATTTAACGATCGTATATAAACAATTATATACTCATTTATATTAATCTTTAGGCTTTATTCTTTACACATTGGTCACGGAATGTATAATACGCAATGAATTCCAATTCTCTTTAAAATTAGGCCAACATTTGTACTTTCATCTAATCTAATGCTAAATATGTCCATTCAATTCACAGCTTTTATTTTGGCTTTTGCATATACACACATACCTGTTCAGTGAAATATGCAATTTATATGAGAACTAAAACATCATTATTCAAATCAAATTAAGTATATGATCCGATGAATTATTTCTGAAAAGGGAAGATTATATGCAGGAAACTAGAGGATTTATGGAAAGATATACTTTCGTTGCTTTAGAATTGAAAGATTATATCATTAAGTAAGGCAGATTAATGAAAAAAAAATTGGAAGATTGTTGTTCTATAATGAAAGCGCCAGAAGAAAAAACCTGTTTCACATTAATATATGTGCAAGAATCAATTATATAAATTTTTTTTAATTCTCACATTGTAATATAAAATATAGGACCAAATCAGAAATTTTAACTGGAATATCCAAAATCTTAGAAGACATTTAATTATATTTAAATTGTACAAAGGTTATTTTAATTGAAATATTGTGAAACTATTAAATTGTAGAGAATGGATATTTATTGTATACAAAAGAATTGTGTGAGCTAATGTAGCATTAATTTTAACATTATAACTTCAAAAAGATAATAGAAATTTTTGAAATATTCAAATGTATATTCAACAATATATCAATTTCACTGAACAGTAGCATTTAGCATTGTCAATAGAACCTAGTCAATTTATGAAATCCTGTCTAGATTCTATGTTTGGCTAATAATTCAATAATATGACTTATTTACAATTGGAACAATCAACATCATTACATAACTGGGTTATAAATTTTTAATTTTGGAAAAAAAATTTAAGTTAAAAAAAATCTGTTTCATCTTTACTATTTTATTTACTATTTTATTTAACTGCTATAAAAATATAATTAAAATCTAAATTGAAGATATTGAAACAGGTGTCCGCACGGATTTTATGCACAGTAAAGATTTTATTTCGGAAATGAAGCATCAATAAAAAAATTTTATTCATTTCTGATTTATTTTTGCTATTTTGCCGAATAATCTCCTGTCATACCATCCGGGACTCATTCTATATATAATATATACAATATTATGTTATACATAATTATTCGTGACAATGTATATATGGTATTATATTACACATATATAAAGCATATATTATATATATTGTTTTCCGTTTCTTTTAAATTTAGGCGATAGGAATTCGTGCTATTTTTTTTTTCCTAGACATATTGTCTGTTCCAATTGTTAAATATCAATAACTGTATGCATAAACCAAAATGCATATTTGTTCCAATTACGAAACATTTCGAAATATATCGTGAAACAATTAACTTTAGCTATTATCAGTATCCAAATATTTTTTCTTTCTGTAATCGTGCTCTGATTCATAACTCGGCGGATGATTATGTTCATTCACCCCCGTCGGCATGAATCTTTCAGCGATCACTGAGCATTTGCCACGGCAACCGCGATGCTGCTCTGCGCAACGGTAGTGCGAATTGTTGCATACTTTGGAATGAGAAGTCAGATTGTATACATATCCTCTATAAATCAGTTGTGGTCTACCTCTTGAAGACAGTCTATAAGTCACTGGTTCCACAGCTGCATATAAATGTATAGTTTCTTTTTACTGAGAGTTATCAATGCTTCATGCACAATGATCAAATAGTTAATTTAATATCTCCAGTAAGTTTATATTCAATAACATAATAAAATATGGCATACCCGATTGTAATAAATTTTCTTCTAAATGCTCATTTGATTTAGATATGATTTGATTAGATAATTCAATTATTTCTTCATTATTATTATCACTAGCCTCAACCTTGGTTTCAACTTCATATTTGTCTTTTTTGCTACTAGACTCATTTTCATCATCTTTTTCATCATTATCTGATAAAAGACAGACATTATCATTGCTGTTGATATTTAATTCATTTCTGCATTTCTTGATTAAATTGTAATTATTTTCCATACATGCTCTATCAACCATGCGTTTTTTTCTTGTTTCAATATTTCTCTTAGTTATCCTATGCGATTGTACAGACATGTCCAAGATATTGATCCTATTTTCTAGATCATTTGGAGCTTCAGACAAGGCATTTACATCCTTTGAATTATCTTGCAAATCTATATTGACGTAATCACTTAACAGTGGTATTATTTGTTTTTCACCACCCTCTAACCCTTTTATCTGTAGCATTTGTGCTACCTTTAGAAAAGTCGGCAGATCCTCCTGTTTTACATTTACTTCTCCTTGATACATAAACTTTAACAAGGATATTATTTCTGCATGTTTTACATCTTTCAATATTATTACTGGATGCTGACAGGGATTCTCCTATAGAACTCTGAATGGTTACTTAAGTACAATTTTATCATGGATTATTATTATTAACAATGAAGTTACCTTGAATATGTTTTTGAAATAAGGACTGCATACAGAGAGGACCAATTTATGGGCAGCTAACAATTGTCCTTCTACAGCAAGTGTTACATCAACTAGATTATTCTCACTTAAATGAGAAAGAAAACCAAAAGTCAAATTGTTAGAAAAGTTGTTCCATTTCAAGGAAAATTCTTTTGAAGACAATGTTGTGGCCATATTTTCCTAGAGCAAAATAATTAACTCTTAATAGTTTGAACTCAAATTAATCATTAGAAGTCTTTTATAATCTAATTTCAGTAAACACGTGATTAAAAAAATAACATATGACAATAAATGACAAATAAATAAATATAAAATATAGATACGTCTATAAAAATATAATATTTACAAAAATGATTAAATATTATTAGAAGTTTTTCAACATATATTTCGAAATGATAAATTTAATATCGAGCATATATCAAAATTAATATATATTAATATTTTTTCACACAACAATGCTCAATTAATATAGATATAATGAAAATCATATCTGTTATCTTCTTTCAATTTGGTTACATTATTTCTGTAGAGTTATTTCTGAATTATTGTTGTCATATATTTCAACAATTAGCCTTTGAAGTTTGTGAATATCTTAATTATTGGGAAAATCATCATTAATTCTCATTGTTAAACATAGACAACAAAATTTGCTACCTGTTTATTAAAACGTAATTTCGTATCTTACAAAATGCTATCCTAATCTATCTCACGGTAGCTGTCAAATATTCACCACGAAAGAAAAGAATACGATGTCGGGTCTATCATCGTATCATCTAAGGCTGTGTTCGTAAATTCACTGTCAGTATTGAAAATCTATAGAATACGTCACGTAGACTATATGTTTTTAGTACTGGCAGTGAATTTACGAACACAATCTAAATCTAATGAACTCTATAGGGTGCGATCCACTTGGTGTTACAAATGCTTCGAAGCAATTTTTGATTGGTCAATTCATAATATTTTTTGTTCTGATTGGTTAATCAAATATTTCAAAGGAATTGTAGCAGTGAAACAGTGGATTGCACCTATAACCTCATAGTAACAGTTTTCTAGCTAGGACATGGGGAGTGCTTTCCATTTAGTGATCAAGTCGACACAAGTATCATTTTATTCTTATTAATCATTGAACGCCAAGAAAGATAGAACGATACTTGTCGACTTGTGTCACTAAATGAAAAGCATCCGGGGTCGGTCTTACCAACTCCGGCTAATCCATAGCTCTTATAGTACTAGATATGCCTTCTGATCAAAATTCTATTTTGAGTTGATAGAGCGAGAGAGCAATATCTTATATCCTTCTTTATCGCGTACTTTTCAAAATTAAAGGATAGAAGATACGATGGTAACATCCATATCACGCTGAAAACACCAGTTTTCGTCCGATCACTGAAGTTAAGTAGCAGCGTTGGGCACAGTTAGTACTTGAATGGATGATCGCTCGGGAATACCGTGTGACGTCACTTTTTAGGGCCCGTTGAATGGTTCGGACATCCTTTGTCCTCACATGAACTTTGTATTATATCATCACGCTTTTTCTTCGATTTTTGTTCACGCATTTGTCGTCGTTCTCTCAATTATATTTTTCGAATTGAATCGTGGCCTGTATTGGCGCCGCCGTAAGGCAGCTTCGGCCAAGAATAAGAAAATACGAAGAAGATACGACGTGATCACTGCGCATACTCAGTTCGCTGTATTCTGTCGGTATGACAGAGTTTCCAATAAAAAAAAAGTGGTTAACTTTATTAATGCTTAAGTGTCGGTCCACAATAGGTGATTTAAGCTTTAAGACGTAAGAAATTGACCAATTATAATCGAATATGAAAAGAATAATCGACTATGATTGGTCAATTTCTTACGGCTTAAAGATTAAATACTTATTGTGGACCGACACTAATATCTCGGTTCGCGGACCGCCGCGTTTTTTTGCCAGATTCTTTTATTTTGAGTGAAACTGTGTTGATTGAATCTAATTTTATCAAAATCGGAGATGAAGAGCATATTCTAAATAATTACCAACGAATTTTTTTTATGAAAAGGTTAATGTCTTATAAGTATTATAATATCTTGTTAATTACATACATCTTTGAGGTTATCATGATTTTGAAAAATTAAAATGCAAAAAGATTCTTAATCATTCATAATGTACGTTTCAGATATATAAAAATTTTTAATAAAATATTTAATTTACAATGTCATTATCACTTGATGCAAATGTATATACTATAGCAAAAACAGTTATAAATGTAAATGTTTTAAGACAGATAGAAAATGATCTTGACATAGATGAAAAAATTTCTGTATTGTTCTTGATAATAGATAATTATGCAGATGGATTTAATGATATTTTTAAATTATTTCAAGAACAGAAGACAAAAAAAGCTTACATAATTATAGATTATATAAGAAATCATCCAGAAAATTGGGAAGATAAAATCTTAGAGGCATTATGTATTCTAAATAATCGAGAAGTAATAAGGAAATTAGGAATATCATTCAGTGATTTAGATTTACAATATATTCCACAAATGAGATTATCCTCAAGAAATATAAATGTGATTACAAAATGTTTATATAGATTATGTGAATCTTTGAATGAAAATGAACAACAATGGTTATTAAACCTTGTTAAATGTGAAATATGTAATTACGAACCCTTACTTGACAATGTACATTACCTTGAACTACATATGCTTTATTGGATGCAAATTGGATATATAACAATTTCTAAAAGTAAAATACAAAACACAAGTAAATTGTTAAGACACTTGGAAGAATGTGAAGATAGCTCTCTAAAGATAATTTGTATGGATTTGGAGAAATTTAATAACTGCCTACATGTTGTTGATAATTATAGAATTTTTGGGACAAGTGATAGAAATTATCAACAATCAATTCCTTTCGAAGAATCATCTCTTACTGGCAATCATTGTTATAAAAAAAGGATACAGTCCATTAATAACGGATTATGTATTATTATTAATCAGATGTATTTTGAAAAAGAGTATGAAACACGATTTGGTACAAGTAAAGATTGTACTAATCTAACTGAAACATTTAAAACTTTTGGGTTTAAAGTCGACTTACTTCAAAATCTGAAGAAAAGCGACATGTTAGAAAAAATGAAAAATATTTCAAAAGATTATGGTACAAAGTATGAATGTTTATTTCTGTGTATTCTGAGTCATGGATATAAAGGTAAGAATCATAATAATGATTAAATATAGGAATCTTTTTTATGATTGGATTTTTTTCTGTATATTTAAATAAAATATATAAATTCTGGAAATAAAAAAAAGTTATAATAAAATTACTACCCAAATAGTATAGAATCATTAAGAATTCAAAGAGAAAAAATTCCTTAGAGTAATTAAAAAATGATTCTGTAAAAGTACGTATATTGATTTCTGTAAAATTAAATCGAAGTTGCTTCGAAAGAAATTCTTTTTTTCTCATTTGTAGTACGATTTGTGAGTGCGATAAGTTGCTCTGAAAGAAGTTCTTTTTTTTTCTTCATAATGAGTTCGAAAAGAATTACGAGTAATACGTGACATCATCGACAGATGCAATTGAGTTCTATTTCTCGAAATTAAAATCTGTGTAGGATAAAATAAAAGATAAAAGAACATTAGATGACAGACAGATAATTTCTCTCAACATTAGATGAGTGTTTTGAATCATGTTCTAATGAAATAATGATGAAGTAATGCGTGAGATCTTATCCCTAGTGATGCTTTGAAGATAAAAACATAAAATTGTTTTCCGGGATAAAATAAAGTATCAACAATATACTTTGACGGTATAATTTAGTTTTATGTTTATAATTTAGGAACTTAATATTTCTCTGAAGGATATATTTATTGGGTATTTATTAGGTACAGTATCTAAAAACTATTTCGATTTCATTGTGAATTTTTATAAACTAAAAAGATTTCCTTTTGTATTTGAATTGGTGATATAAAAGTGAAATCCTGTGGAATTTCTATGAACATTTTTAGATCAGAAATTAGAAGAGGAATACATTTCATAATTTAGAAATTCGAAAACGAATTATTTTTTTAATTCTCTGTGCTCTTTGGGTACATGTAATGATAATGAAATCACTATATGCAATGTGTGTGTGTGTGTGTGTGTGTGTGTGTGTGTGTGGTCGCGCGGCA